GATATCTCCTGATTTTTTCCTTCTGTTTGTAAAAATACTTAATCAAATTACTTGGAGTTAAGATTTCATATAATTTAATTTAATGTTTATATGATTTTTTAGATTGAAAATTTTCCAAAATTTTGTTGTGAGACACTGTTTTGAAAAAACATTAAAATTACTTCCTTTGTCTTAGAATTTCAAATTTTTATTGTTAATCAGAAAATGTTATTTCATATATTCAGTTAATTTCAATTTAATAACATATTTCAATATTTGCCACTTCTGGCTAGAAATCATACGATACTCAGCAAAAACTGACAAAACTTTATTGGTGACCAAGTCTTTCAAATTAGCATCGACTTACCTTAGTCAGGCTACGTAACGTAACTTTTGCTAAAAGAATATTTTAACGAGATCAATTGATACTTAATAAATATAATTTCTTTTCAATTACCAGTACGTTGTTTTATACAATATATTCGATCATATTTAAATTTTGGCTATAGTTATTTTAAAGATGAGCATCGTTAGGAACTGTTCAGACCATAAGTTGTGAGATTATAAACGGTGGGAACGAAAGATTGTGGTATTAAGGCTATTAAACAGAGAGGTAAAAAACGTGAGAAACAAGACTTTAATCATCATATTTTCAAAGGATGATAATGTCTTAGCAAGTACAAGCCTGTTCCTTGGGATGCTTAGAAAAATTCTAAAAAGAAAATCGATAATTCGTTGTTTACAGGTGAGATTTCTCACAGATGCGCAGAAATTATATTTGGAAGATTTTTTTGCTGCGAATCACACTAAATTTTAGAATTGCTATTTTTTTTTTAATTTCGAAATTTGATATGTGTGTATGCACTTGACACCTGAAAGGTGCTCACAGACATCATAGAGCTAGTTAATGGTATTAGTCTATCAAGTTATATTTTTCGTAATATATTCACAGAGTAACTGCAGAGTAACAATTAGGCTTCAAAACTACCTCGGCTTAACAACAAAACATGGTGATTCTGAAATAACTGTACACTAACAATTAGGTCCCATAAATAACTCAGCTTTACAGTTAACAACAAAACGTGATGATTCTAAAATACCTATACAGTAACAATTAGGTTCCACAACTGACTCGGCTTAACAACCAAACGTGATGATTTTAAAATAACTGCACAGTTACAAGTAGGCCTCAAAACTACCTCGGCTTAACAACAAAACATGGTGATTCTAAAATAACTGCACAGTAACAATTAGGTCCCATAAATAACTCAGCTTAACTGTTAACAACATAACGTGATGATTCTGAGAATATAAATGGGTTTCCGATAAAATTTCAAAAAATCTCAATAGAAGATGTTATTACTTCAAACACTTTCTTGGGAACTGAATAGAATGAAAAATTAACATTATGAATATTCTAAGATATTTATATAAACCTCTAATGACATTATTTTTTATTTAAAAAAAATACTTATTTGTTCCTTTATAACGTTGAAGAATCTGGCGATCGTCTTTAGAATCATTTTATTTAAACTACCAGGAGAATCTGAGTATTGGAACGACAACACCGATAATACCCCAGTCTGCTTTCTGAATTTTTACACAAATAAACTTTGTAAATAAATGCCTATATCTAAGATGAATTAGACTATCATAACTTATTCTACGGTGAGTCTGTTGTCAAAAATGAAAAATATATACCTCTCTATGTACAGAGTTAAAGGTCTTCACCAGTAGCTTCTATCTATAATATGTAAGGGACAAATTTGGTGAGCTTACACTTACTACTTCACTTTTGACGTGCACAAGTATAGAAAATGCAGTGAACTTTCCTTCGATACTATAACGATGTCTTCACATTTGAGTTAACGACATGACAATTTATGGTAAGAGATTTAATGATAAACTACTCCTTAAAAGTTAAATATACATCGATCAAACTAATTTACTGACTATTCTCATATTTTAAGTCGAAAACAAGAAGGCATCATATTGAAAATAAATACGTTCTTTCAAAAGGTGATGCCTATTTTAACATTTCTTTGTTTTTGAAATAACAGTCGCCCACATAAACATGTTTTATTTTATTACTTTGATTAAAATTTGATAACAAACGCTTATATCAAAGTCACTTTGAATGGTGACTAGTTGTTTTTGGTTTCAGGTAGATTATATGCCGAACTCTATCAACTTAATCTTCTCTTAATATATGCATGTATGTATAAAACGAAAGAGAGTTGTCAAAATATGTAATATAGCAAAATGATACACCATGTGGCTGATTCTAACAGTATACAAACACTTCCTAAACTTTCCATTATTACTTTTAATTTGTTCCTTGCGGATAATATAACACAAGAATGGATAATACAACAATAATAAGTATTGTGACTTTCCATTCCAACAGAAAGTACTAAAATCAAAAGATAATACAATAGAAAAGGTGATTTGTAATTCCTGCAGTACCAAAAATAATAAATGACACAATAAAATATGATATGGATTGTTATTATAACAATATAAAAACAAATACATGATGCAAAAACACAACAGTGGTTTTGTAACTAATGGTTTCAATAACATAGAAGTACTATCAAATCAATAAGTAATATGAAGGCACAATATACGTTAACTCATGCTTTTAACAGTAAACATAAACTATCAAAACAAATATATATATAACACAACAATAGATGTTATTATTTGTGGCTCATACAGTATATATATATATATATATATATATATATATAT